CATTAAATGAAAGGGGTGGGTTCTACCATAGACATTTCAGTCTTATAACTGGCAAAGTGGGGCCTAAAGAAGTGTTAAGGGCATGAACAAATGTGTTAAATATTCACTGTGGTGTGATTATGCATTTAACTATATGTGTAAAACTTTATGAAATTACTTTCAAGAGGAGAAGTTAATGCAGTGTTACAGAGCACTGACACAGTGCATTGACTAGCCTCATGTCATTGAGTTGAGTTCTCATCCTTATAGAGAAACCTTAATTTGCTATAATAGTCTCCTTTCAAATTCTCTGTCACATTGTGGGATTAGTTGGTTCCCAAGCCGTATCCATGCTTCATCAAGGAATTTTCTTTTTAAGAAACGGTTCATTGGAAATCACACATTAACTGGAGGGAAAAAAAGAAATTCTGATCACCACAAGGTAACAATGACCTAAAAAAACACACAGCTATTGTTTTTTTTTTTAAATCTCATTTAATCCAGCTTCTATCTACAGTATGTATAAACACTGTGGTGCTAGACATCTACACTAAATCAAAAACAGACTACAGTATATTATGTTATGAGCTCACTATTTAAAAAAAAGTATGTTATGGTAACAAACTAAAAATTGTTTTAACTGATTTCACAGGGGAAATAGCATTTAATAAATGCATTGTCGTGGTGCTTTTATTTGCAGCTTCTATTAAATAAAGCTTGTATGCAAGATTTATTCCCTGTTTTATCAAAATTATATAGCATTTAAACAAAACCAGTTATCAGGTAGAATTTGATTTGATCAATACAACCATTAGCAATTATAGAAAGCTTTTAGAGACTCATGCTTACCGATTAATTTTATAATAATTTTCCAGAAAGGACTAAAGCAACTGAAAAAAAGAAGTGTCTTTAAAGAGTGAAGCCTAAAATGTCCTTTTGGAGAATTTAAAAAAATACTCCAGCAGTAACAATTAAAAAGTTCATTTTTTTAAAAAGAGGTGCTTTTCAAACGACAGCTTTATAGCTTTAAAAAACAAGTTCATCTAGAGATATTAACCCCTTATACTACATATCAAACATGCTGAAATGCTCAAAAGCATCTAAAAAGTTCTGAAATCCAATAGGAAACTTTTGCAGCTTTTTTAACGTGTAGTACAGAATATGATGAGAATAGCCCCAACGTTAATCAGATGTAATTTTTCAAAGACCTAGCCAACCCTTTACCCCCACCCCACTGGGCGTTAATGCAGCACGGGCTGGTATTTGCCCTTTTCCTAATAGCCCAGGCTAGAGCTTGGCAGCTACTGTGTGTGACATCCCAGAGGGAAACCCAAGCTGGGAGAGCATAGATTGATGGCTCAGCATGGTACTGCATGCACACAGCTGGGGTGGGACCACTTAACAACTCACAATTTCTAATACACATTCTCTGTACTGAGGTTAACGGAGACTCTTAAATAACAATATATGCAAGCAACACAAGCCATTTACTGTGACAGTATTATCAGCATGATGTTCCTCTGCTTCACTCCTAGACCAAACAAATATTACGTGGTAAGTAAGAACAGACACAACTTGGGAGGACAAAATGTATTGTAGATAAACTTATTAATTTGCTTTCAAGTCAACAAGCATCAACATAGCCTACTGATCAAGATAATTTTAGTGACATATCATGCACTTGAACACTTTACAGGCAAATTTGAATATATATAATCCATTCAAGGGTAACTGCATTAACTTTGCAACAACAATTGAGCTCAGACTATACAATGAAATGTTAAATGCCAGGCACAGACATAAACCAAAAGTTATGAGGAACATTGTATCCACACAAAGATTGTATGTACAGTACTAAGAAATTTTTATAAAAAATATTTTTTATTTTGCAAACTAAATGTAAAAATTACTACAGCTGTATTATATACATCAACTTAACACATGTGATCTGTGTTATGAGACAGCAGAAAGGTGTGCAAGGTACAAATTTACTGTAAACAGCAAAGAAGTTATATACTGTATGCTTCAGGAGATTCCTTTGCTATTTTACATAAATAAACACATACTGTATGTGTCAAACTAGTTCACCATTCAATGAGTACATACTGTGAACATCACCTACTGTATATACTTCCTAGACAAATGGCAGGGCTCTGAGAAACATGGCATTAACACCTCATTATGCTCTCAGTATGTAAGAAACATATCTATTTTTATTTCTTGTTTACACCCTGAGATTTAAAGCTATAAAATAAATCTAGTGAAATTGTTTGCAGATGCCTGCTTTTATTCACAAATGCAGGGGTGTATCCTGGAGGCTGCTACCTGTCTGATTAGCTGGTACTGCTAGAGAAAGCCTTTCTTGAAACCCCAGTGCAATGAAGTGCCAGTTTTTGAATTTTATCCAGTGGCTGCAAGTGAGGTCAAGCAGTCAGAGACCTCAAGGACGTACCCCTAGTGCTCTGAATGGAAGATATCTTGATCTATTCGAAGTGGTTTCTATGGACTAAAATAAATGTAAAAACTAATCAGATTTTCAACCAAAAAAAATGAGTTTTTTAAATAGTGGTAGCATACTGTATGTGGTGGTATACTGTATAAAATATATAATGTTTTAAAAAAACGTCTTGAGGCAAACTTCTGACCAGAAATCAGCCACACTTGATTAAATATTATGCCCTTTAAACAAGATAGATAATGTAATTACTTGAATCCTTTGCCAGCTTCATAGTATTGGACTAATTGTTCCCTAGAGGCTGAGGTGAAACCGCAAACCACATCTTAATTGTGGCCTCAGCCATGTCTGTGGAACACTTTGGCTTGCCAGACTTGCGAATTAACCTTCTGTTCCTACTTAGCCCTTGAACCAGAGTTTGGCACTTCAGGATTCAAATTGCTGTGAGCTACAAAGCAATTTGTGAGAATTATAATTGATCGGAAAAATAGTTATCGCCTATAATGTCAGAGTAGTAATGCTGAAGTACAATTGTCCTTTAGGCACACAAATACTGGTATGAAGTTAATCAAGGTAAACTCTAGACCCCTTTCAAAGTTATATCTAATAATTGAGCACAATTTTGCATTTTTGACAAGTTTCCTAATTTTAATTAGTGGTTGTTTTCAAGAGGAGTACTATTTCACTGGAGCAAAACCTACTGTAATGTACAAGCCATTAACAATATGCCTGGGGCTACAACAATGTTCACAATGGTGGGATGTATGAAAATGAAAAACACTGGAGTGACAATATTGCAAGAACACTGTCTTCCAGGTATGAATGACAGTCGAAATATATCAGTGCAAGCTCTCATTAATGCATCATATTTTATTAGTATACTAAATATTGCAATAATTCGCCGAACTCTTTGCAGACTTATACCAGGGAACTGCCCCTGTTTGCAGTCCTGTTTGCACTACTCATTATTTTCTGAGCTGAAACCCAGCTCAAGTAGCCAACAGAGATTAGTGGTGTCCCTTCTGGTGACAAGATATCCCAGTCACGCAAACTAATTCCATGACACAGTATCTAGTATGTGAGTAAAAAACAAATCAACATCAAGTAGGCCAAACATTCATTTAAAATATGCACAAGAGTCTACATGTAGATGTAGTACATTGCCATAATCTTAAACATTGAATTTAATCCTAAATATTAACATCAATATCAAAACACAGCCTTCATATTTAAAAATTCAAATTCTAGCAAGACTTTGTAGCAAAAATGTAATGTAAAAATGTAAGCACTAAATTTTAGTAGGCAATTCGGTATTTAGGGAATTTTTCAAGTTACTGCGGCTCAAGTAGGAACCACACTCTAATCCTTCCATCAGAATTGTGATTAACTTATATTCATATCTTACATCAGATTCACAGACATTTGGCAGTTCAAATTAAAAGTAACTGTCTAATATCAGTATCCTAATTATACTGCATTCCCATTTAACTCCAGCACTACACAACATTTAGTCCAGATTATTTGACAGGAAATTGCCTGCCTTTGTCTTGCATAGAAGTGTTCATATTAATTAGAGCCACTTCAAGTAATTGTATCTCCCATTCAGCAGAGCAAATATTAAATTAATACAGACAATTTCATGATTGACAATTTCAATCTTCACCCATAACCTTGATGTACGCCCCTTCTTAATAAATTAGTATTTCCATTCAGAGGGAATTTGAATTTCCTTAAGCCATTCATTAGCTGGGAATGTATAGGAGCGAAGACATCACTGAAAAAAATCTGTCTTTCCTGCACAATTCAACGCTAACAATGTGAACCAGTTTTTGAAACAGATCAACTGAGGTCAACCATGTATTAATATTAGGCTGAATATGTTTTCTGAAAGACCTCTTGCTGTACACTATGTAGCATCAACTTTAGTGTTAGCAATTTAATATATAAAAGGGCAAAACAAAAAAGGTTGGTATGAATTCATTTTCAAAGAAGACTTAAAAGGACAAAAAACATTTAACAATACAATGTAAAGGACTATGTATTTTGTTAATTGGAAAGGATGGCCAGCCTAGAATTTTAATTTAACAGTTTCCTAAAAACAGGCCAGCAAAAATCAAGTGTGATGAGCTTTGAAAATCTTTCTCCTTGAAAAACCTTACACAGAATGTATTGTATAACAAATGAAGTAGCTTTTTACAGCCACAAAGCCTTTCCAGTAGCTGAGGTTAGAAACGTCTCAACAGTACCACAAGACCAACTTCCAACAAATGTCAATGATCCAACTGCTAGAATTATTTGTATTATTCTTTTGCACCTTCTGTAACAATCTTAGTTTTTAAAAAGACAGCAGTAGCACTTCCTAAAAAATGTAATTCACACAAAAATTTACTAAACAAAAGGAATTCACTGAGATCTACATTAAATTAAGAAACAATTCTGGTAATGTAAATTATTGGCTTCACACAATATGATTCAAGGATACCTCAACAAACCATGTCAAGGAATTATTTCTATTAATCAATGGAATAATGGATGCAGACAGGAAAAAAGACAGAGGCAAACTTACCTTTCGACCTCCTGTATTCAGACGCAGAGGAGTGAGAAAGGGGTCAAAAATCATATGGCTGGTTTCTATGTTGACCGGAGATTGTCTTTTTCCAACTGAGCACAGATTCCAGGCTGAATTCACTAGCCCCCAGAAAGATGGAACTGTAAACACACGAAATGAGCAGGGAACATGCACATTAGGGACATTAGCAGAAGACAGGAAATCTACAGCTTCATCACATTTAGAACAGCACAATGAATGCTGCTTACATGTCTCCCATACAACTCCCACGGTTAAAGTCATTTTGATTAATTTTGCTCCCTTTGTGGCTCATTTTAAGTAAGAGATTGAAAAAGTGATCACAGAATATCTGGATGAAATTTAAAAGTGTTCTGAAAGCATTGAATGTGTAACTTTTAATCACTGACAGGCCCATATGCTTATCTTTACACTAAAACTTAAAAGGTTTGAGGAAGTCTAGCAGGTACTGCTGCTGATAAATTAGCTATTTGTATTTCTGCAAAAGTCTGCAAGTTTTTTAACTGAAAATGCTGCTTCAGTACTTGCACTTCTCATTTCCAAAACCTGAGGATTTAAGTGCTTTTGGGAATGAATTAATGGGGGTAGTGATAATAATTTATATTAATATTCCTGTATTATAAATAGACAGAAACAATCCTTTAAGACCTCACAAGTATTATTTACACATATTCCTTCTGCATGAACAGCATTTACAATGGGTTTAAGAGACTGACTCTGGGTTCTTTTACTGATGATTTAACAACTAGTTTAGGATTTAAAAGAGAAGTAACAATTACAGTCTAGACACTGGTGCTACAAAATACTAATTTTGTTTGTTTTTTCCTGAGGCAACTGGACTGCTTTCCCTTAGTATAACAAGTGTAACTGAAAATACATTAAAAGGCAATTTCACACCAATACTAGAATTATCAATGCTCAGAAAAAAATAACTTGGCCATGTTACTATGAGCAAGAACTTTTAAATTTAGCTTGTGATAAAATCCTTCAGTATGAGAAAACAGGGAAGAGTGATTGATTGTTTCTCAGAGAAGTTAGCAGAAGAAAACACCAGGATTGATTGGTCTGACTTGTCCAAGGAAGAAGACACTATCCTACATAAAGATGCTTGGAATCTCCAAGGCCATGCAAAACATCTTAACACTAAAGCCTTAGTTCAGACAGTTTAGAGAGTTTTTATTCATATTATTCCCTTGCCTTCTAGTCAATCAATATTATTTCTGTAAAAAGCTCCTAGCATCTCAAACGTAGGTGCTATTTGCATGTAATTTCCTTTCCATTTTCATGTGTTTAAATTGAGTTAACTTGGGGGCTTTCCTCACATCAGTGCCATCTGCTGTTTATTAGGCTGTGTGTGCCTTCAAATGCATCTTGAAATAACGAGACTACACTCCTAAGTGAAGAAAGATATGCACTATGGTTGCTGTTAATGTAATGAGACCCACCCAGCTTGTGTAATAATGTACACTGCTAGTTGTAGACTGCAGCCAAATACTATTACAAAAATGCAAAAAAAAAAACACTCCGAAAAAAAAAAACATTTTTGCCAGACACAATCTGCCACAAATGTAGGCATTTTTGCTGAGGAACAACAGCCAGCTGGCATTTTATTCCAAGTCAATAACCCTTCCTGTCTGAAGCAAATTACTCCATTTTGACATAATCCCCACTGAGAAAGCAATACATTAGAGTACTTTCCAGTCATCTCTTGTTTAAGGTATTATTGAATCTAATGCTAATACTTTGCAAAATATGGGCAAACACTCAAGTGCTAAATTATTCTGGAGAATGACAGGAAATTATCGGTTCAAATGGCAAGCAAGTGCTGGGAATCGATCCCTAATACGGGACCTTGTCGGATATGTACACATAATTATTTCCTATTGATAGATCCCCTAGCACATTTAGCTCGATGGCTGTATTTCTCAAGAGGGCAGATTTTTTACAGCCAATAATGTATAGCACCTAATCCTCAACCTTTCCATGCCCTGTAGTATTAAAACAGAAGGGAATGCATTACTGTTGAGCTACTGTATATACAGTATATTGCCTGTCTTGTAATTGACATTAAGCAGTTTCTCTTTTTCTTGTCACATTAGAGAGAAAATATAGAAATATTTATGGACTACATAGAGACACCCTTTGGAGTTCACAGCCCATTTTTATACACAAACTCATTAACAGCTTTGCCCAATTTTATAATACAGAGAAGTGGAATAAGCATTCCACGTGTATTTTGAAGGAACAAGGATTTTAAAATATTGATTTTCTTTGTTTTGTGTGACATTTGTTTCCATTGAGGCATGTCATTTTTTACCATCAAATCATAAAGTCTCTTCGGGGGGGGTACCAATTATTTAGTGTAACAGAGATTTTCCACAACCTTCTGACATCTTTAAAGGATTTAACCCATGTCACCTAAAACTGATCAAGCTGAAAAAAGACTTGGAGCAAATGTACTGCTGTAAAATACTGCATGAAGCTGTACTCTCAGTAAACACAAAGTAGATATTTCTCCTAGATGATCAGTCAAAGGTTTCAAGCAGTAGGATTCAGAAATAATTTTTGTGAGACTGAACAAGCAAATAATATGGCTGCAAGAAAAAAAATATCCTACCTATGTCATGTCACCCCCATAATTCAACAAATAGCTATGTTTATATCATAACTCAAGTCAACTAAAATAGTGAGTAAGTGTACCAATTGTTATACTCATTACATTATACTCAGAAGTCTTCAAATACCACACACATACTTCTTCTTAGTTTAAAATACTTTCAGTATCTTAAGTGACTTAATTGTCCGAGATTCCTTCCTTGAACAGATGCCTTCAGATCAGGCCTTATAGTTTTCAATTTCTTTTTAGTCAATTAAACATCTGTGTCTTCCGCTAAATTTGAAATTGAATTACACGGTGAGATGAGACAGTAACAGTCTATGTACAATGCTACCACCACCAATAAGAAAAGTCTTCATAGAAAAGTGTTTAAATGTATATTTGAAGGAAAAAAAATAAACTATTCTGATTGTGTTGTGTTAACCTTTGGAGCATTACTTTGTTCATGCTGTGTTGTGCATCATTTCTATCAATGCAAATTGGCGCTCAAAGAAAAGAAAGATGAACAAGAAATATAATGACTAATTTAGTCACACAAATTTAGATATCAGTCTGTCTATAAACAATCTATGAATATGTTAAGAAATATAAATATATCCATTAACATATCCACTCTTTACATAAATTATATAAATTGTATATACTGCATACATTACATATCTGTAAGTAGATTTCAGGTTTTGTTATTAACTCCCAACTAATTTATAGTAGAAGTTAGTTATTACATTTATATTACTGTTACACTCTGAAGTAGGTAACAATGGAAGATGTCTAAGAATCTACAGTAGATACTGTGTAACACCTGGCAGTGTAAACTTTTCCAGCTTCGAATCAGAGGGGATTGTTGAGATGTATTGTAGGAGGTGCCTGTGGATGTAGGGGGGTCTGTCATCAAAATAAGCATAATGGTTTGCCTTAGTTAATTAAGTTCTGGGTAAATGATTAAGTGTTAATCAACAGTTCAGAAAGACACCATATAAGATCAGATCAAGAGAGAAGGAGGAAGAAAAAGAAAAACAGCAGACCACAAGAAAGAGAGGGGACAGGAGAAGAGTAAACCTGAATCTTGAGCCAGGTTGAGAGTCCCTACTTCAGAAAAGAATGACTGGAGCTAAGTATCTGAACCTTGTTAAGAGAGTTTGCTATTCTGTTGTTTTTAGGATATCTGATATCCTGTGTAAAGAACCCCTCAGTTAGAAACAGCCAGTCCTGCTCAGTGGGTGCATTTTAGAATAGGGAGATAGGCTCCAATTTATTGGCATCTGGGTTTGCAGAGAGAGAGATTTAATCCTAAATTGTATTCTATTTAGTTAAGAAGGCAGCTAATGTTTTATTGTGGCCTCTATAGGTATTATTCAAGATTCAGATACTGTACTTCGCAGCAGTCTGGGATTTCCCTGGTGGTCTAAACATACTGTAAGACTTTGAAACACTAACCTTTTACACACAATAACTTGTGTGTTGTATGTTTATGTTGCATGTAGTGTAGTATGTGTCACTGTCAGTGCTGATAAATATTTGTTTAACTAAGGTTGCCTGAATTATTGCTCTTTTCACCAAAACAAAGAACTCACGTGCTTCTAATAATATGAACCACTCATGTATATTCTTGGAGAAATCATTCACAAGTAGGAGGTTATATTTATTTTATTATTGACTAATCTGCTTGTCAGTTCCTAATTTTCTCAATTTTCGTAACCAACTATTTTTAACATTGCTTTATGTCTTTATAGTGTGTCTGTGTGTACCAGCTGTGTACTTTGCATTTACCGCCAGATATAAAGGGGGACACTGATTTAAGTAAAACTGTTTCGCTCCCCTCTTTTATCAGATGCAAACTACAACAATCAAGTCATGAACAGGTACTATATATGCAGTAATTAATCCTACCCCATCTAATTAGAAGTGTCTGAAGCGTAAGCCACAGTTTAGGTTCATTAAGGTTGAAAACTGAGCCTAGGGAGAGGCCAAAGAAGCTATGATATGCAAGCTATGCACATCAGTAAAGCATATCCATTCATTATTTATTCCTACAGATCTTTAAGCAAATGATCACATTAATGTCTCCAGGTACCCCCAAATGAAGCCTAAACACTTCACTCATTATTTAAATGCAGGGTTTTGAGATATAAAACTTTCAATATGCTGTCAAGAAAGGTAGATGCAGTGGTGTTGGTCTTCATGAAATCTTGACAATATTACTGAAAAATGCTTGTTCTCTGTTTGGTGATTTATTAGCAATGTGTTGAAAGGTTTATGATAACTTTCAGCTTTTTCCCTTTCTTTTTTTTAACCCAATAGAAAAACTAATGCAAGGGTAGGGTGTAAATAATTAATGTGTGAGGTAAATGATTGTGAGAATGAACTATTTGCCCAATACCTTCCATTTTTATAATTAAGGCACAGTCACTGTGCTGGTCAGCACATGTACATTTAGTTCTTGCAAAAACTTGGAAAGTTTTACTTTGAGGTTGAAAAAAGTGCTTATTTTTGTCTTGATTGTGT